CCTTGGGAGACAGGGCACCCCTCCCCTTGGGCCCCTTGCTCACCCTTTCTTCCCCTGTCTCTCTCAGGTCTCGGGATACCTTGCCCTAGGCTCTGCTGCTACTCTGGGCTCTGGTGGGGCAGCCAGGGGAAGGGAACCTGGGAGAGTCGGGCAAGTGGCAGCCCAGGTACAAAGTGTAGAAGGAAATGCCCAGTGCTGCGACTGCAGGGAACCAGCCCCAGAGTGGGCCAGTATCAACCTCGGTGTCACTCTCTGCATTCAGTGTTCCGGCATCCACAGGTCATTCAGGCCCCATCATGCGCCCTACCCTGGTTTTTTTCTTTTCTTCTTCTTCTCTGTCACTGGTCACCAATCTTGCTGCACAAAGTGCACATTTGAGTTAACTATGGACAGGCTTGGGGGACTCCTAGGGAGTTTATTGTCATTTTTGTTTTTGTTTTTTTTGTTTTTTGTTTTTTCGAGACAGGGTTTATTCTCTGTGTGGTTCTGGCTGTCCTGGAACTCACTCTGTAGACCAGACTGATCTTAAACTCACAGAGATCTGTCTGCCCCTCCTCCTGAGTGCTGGGATTAAAGGCCTGCGTCACCACTGCCCAGTCCAGAGAGTTTATTGTCTTGGTCAGAGGAAGCATGGGTTAAGTTGCTGAGGGTGGGACAGCCAACAGAGCCCCAAGAGTGAGGTCCTACCAAGTTCTTAAGGCCTCACCACCATTCTGAAGTATACACAGAGGGAAGGGAGATGGCATACAAAGAATGTTCCAGACCAAAGTACCATGAAGAAAGTAAGGGGCTAAATGGGAGAGAGTCGGTGGTGGGAGGGAGGAAAGAGAGGAGGAGGAGAGAGAGGGAAAAGTAAGGACCTAGAGAGCACAAGGACTTAAACAGAAGTTAGAGGGAGGGGTGATGATCAGACTAGAGCCTGGTCAAGGATATATGGCCTCTGATGCCCTACCTCCTAGCCCCGCTCCTCTGCAAGTCTCCACACAAGCCTGGCCAGAGTCTTTGCAGTAGCAACAGCTTCCCCAGGCCACTGCCCACACAGGGCATGACTCTCACTCTGGTCTTCCAGGAGCCTTGGTGTTCATTTCTCCAAAGTTCGGTCCCTGACCCTTGACTCCTGGGAACCAGAACTAGTGAAGGTAACTTGGGTTATTGTGGACACAAAGGACTGAGGAGTTCTGAGGGCTCAGGTGCTCACCCTGTTACCCTACCTCTTTCTCTGGGCCTCCTGAAGCTTATGTGCGAGCTGGGGAATGTCGTCATCAACCAGATCTACGAAGCCCGCGTGGAGGCCATGGCAGTGAAGAAGCCAGGGCCCAGTTGCTCCCGGTGAGGTTGGGTAGAAGGTGCCCAGGGCTACCCCCAACGTGGGGCGTGTGTGGCAGGATGAGGAACCTAAGGCTATCTCTTCCCAACCCCCAGGCAGGAAAAAGAAGCCTGGATTCATGCCAAGTATGTGGAGAAAAAGTTCCTGACTAAGCTCCCTGAGATTCGAGGCCGAAGAGGTGGCAGGGGACCCTCACGAGGACATCCTCCTGTGCCCCCAAAGCCTTCTATCAGACCGCAGCTGGGGATTGTCCGGTCCAAGTCAGGTAGAGAGTGTTTGTACCATTGCTGTCTGCTCAGTAGTGGACCAGATCCTAGAGAGAGACAGAATATGAGGTCCAGGACGTCCCCTGGAGAAAGTTGGGAGGATGAGACTATAGTTTTAGGGGGTGACAGTAGGGCATGGCATTGAGCATGGGGAGAAGTGTGGAGTGGGATATGTCAAGGAAAAGCCACAAAAGGATATCAGTTGTGTGGTGGTGGTGCACGCCTTTAATCCCAGCACTCGGGAAGCAGGGGCAGAGGATCTCTGTGAGTTCAAGGCCAGCCTGGTCTACAAATCGAGTTCCAGGACAAGCAGGACTACACAGAGAAACCCTGTCTTGAAAAACCAAAAGAAGGAGGGAGGGGTTAAATCTCCACTATGAGAAGAAGCAGGAGAGGAGTTGAGTTTGGCATCTGCAAAGATCTGAAAAGGAGGGTGTGAGCCTGACCCAGGCAGAGGAGGCAAGAGCTGAGTCTGTCAGGAGTCAGTTTGCCTCAGGCATCCAGCCAGTCTGGGTAGTTGGACAGGCTGAGGTGAGTGACACTATCTCCTCCACACCCAGGGCTCTGCACACGTACACCCCGACACGTATGCACACACCATCCCTCCCATCTCTCACCACAGCCCTGAGTCACAAGGGCCTCCCCACAATTTAGACGTGACTTACCCCCTCGCAGCATCTGGGCACTGTGCTGAAGATTTCTCCCCAGCCTCAGCACTGATTTTCCTTGACAGAGTCCCCATCTGGTGACCTGGGAAGCCTTCACCCTGGGGCCCTGCTGTTCCAAGCTGCTGGACACCCTCCATCTCTTCCTACCATGGCTGATGCACTGGCCCATGGAGCTGATGTCAACTGGGTCAACGGGGGTCAGGGGAATGCCACACCTCTGATCCGGGCCACAGCTGCTGTGAGGACCATACTGACCCCCCTACTCAATCCTAAAGCTCCTCCTGGCTCTCCCAGGGCTCTCCATTCCATAGGGAAATCCCATAGACTGGGTGTTAAAAGTGTGATTTGGAGGTGGTGAATCAATCTTGGACCCACCACTTACATGAGATCTTAAAAGGATCTTAGTCTCCTCCCCAGTAAACTAGGAATAGAAGGCGGCCAGAGAGATGGCTCAGCATACGCTGCACCTGCTGAGGACTAGGATTCAGTTCTCAGTGCCCATAAGGCGGCTCATAGCTATAACTCCAGTGCCAGGAGACCCAACACCCTCTTCTGGCCTCCTCACTTACTGCATGTGGCACACAGTCATGCAGGCAAAACATTTATACTCATAAAATCAAAATGAAAACATCTTTAAGAAAGAGTACTAGTGCCAGCACTCAGGAGGCAGAGGCAGGCAGGATCTCTGTGAGTTCGAGACCAGCCTGGTCTGCAGAGTGAGTGCCAGGACAGCCTCCAAAGCCACAGAGAAACCCTGTCTAGAAAAATCAAAAAAAAAAAAAAAAAAAAAAAGAAAGAAAAAGAAAAGAAAAAAAAAAAAAAAGAAAGAGGACTAGCAAGCCTCATCAGAGCAGAGTGCAGGATAGATTTAATGCAGGAGCATGTCAAGAGACAGCCAAGCCTGATAGCTACTTGTATCCTGAACTCCCATCGTCTTAATTATGATGCCCCAAAACGTCTAGAAATCTATTTCTAAAAATGCCATCCTCTCCTTGATCTCTCCATGTAGAATTGTCTCCTGGCCTGTGAGTTTCTCCTCCAGAATGGGGCAAATGTGAACCAAGCAGACAGTGCTGGCCGGGGCCCTCTCCACCATGCCACCATTCTTGGCCACACAGGGTAGGAAGCAGCAAAAATGCCACCATGGGGAGGAGGTCTCCTGGGAATGTGACTGGGGGAAGGCTGCTGCAGCTGAATTTGCCTGTCCCCTTCAGGCTGGCTTGCCTGTTCCTGAAACGGGGTGCAGATCTGAGTGCTCGAGACACAGAAGGCAGGGACCCTCTGACCATTGCAATGGAAACAGCCAATGCTGACATCGTAACCCTGTGAGAATGCCAGAGGGTTGGGCTAGAGCTTAGACGTCTGTTCATCTTTGGGGTGGGACTAATGCCAAAACCAGCCGTGGAAGGTGAGGTCTGGGGAGGGGTGGAGTAAAGCTGTCTGTGGGTGGTGGGGTGTGGAGCAGGGTGAGTAATGGGAGTTCATCGTGGGAGTTCGGACATCAACATTGCGGCAAAGTTCACGCGTTTGCTTTTGAAAGCAGTGGTCACCAGGGAGGCATTTTTACCCAGTGGTGTAGCTCAAGGGACGGGGAGTCGAGCAAAGGATGGGAAGGAAGAGTGCGATCTTTTATTCCTTAATTCCCGCCCTTCAGGCTGAGATTGGCAAAGATGAGGGAGGCTGAGGCAGCCCAGGGCCAGGCAGGTAAAGTAACCACTTATTTATCGGGACCCCGGGGCCACACCAGAAGTCTGAACCCTTGCTTACTTGTCCCTTACTGTCCAACTGCATTAATGCCCTTGTTTATTCAGCAAACATGTTTTGGGCACACGAATGTGCCTGGCCCTCCGAACAATGGAAGGAAAAGGCACGCGCGCGTACACACACACACACACACACACACACACACACACGTCAAGTGCTTGCCCTGTCAGACCCACCCTACTGCCCGGTGACGCTTTTCGTAGTAGGCCATCTGTCCAGCCTTGCCTCTGTCCTCCTCAGGGGATGAGACATATCTCGACATCTTCCGAGACTTCTCCCTCATGGCATCGGACGACCCGGAGAAACTGAGCCGTCGCAGTCATGACCTCCATACTCTTTGATTCCAGGCCCCTCCCCATTTTGTGGCCTGTTCTCCATTAAAGTCTTTCTGCTTTGCTTTTTCTTTCTCAGTTCGTTTACTGTGCGCCACCTGGGGGCCCAGCAGGGTGTTGGGTGCAGCAGCCACTAACGTGCAGGACTTCTCAAGAGGTTAGGATTTCTGCAATAACGGAGGAGGCTGACTAGCATCCAGTGGCTTGGTGGAGGGTGGGGGTGAGCTTTCGCGCTCACAGGACAAGGGAAGTCACCCGCGTGGGGACCTGGGCACGCCGGGGTGACCCAAAAGCATCCCCGGAATTTGATGGCTCAGCACCCGCCCCATCGGGAGTTCCCGACCGGGATCCAACCCCGAGGCCTGGGCTTTCTCAGAATGGAGGGATTGAGACTCCTGCCCGGACCAAGTTGTACTAGTGAGGTCATGCACACCTGCAGGGAACGAAGGACCGTCGCGGCCACATCCGTAGTGAAGCCTGTGAATCATCCCACCCCCGCTCGCGTCGGCAGGTCCAGCCTGTCCGCCCCGTCTCTCCCGTCGGCGAGTCCCAGCTCCCACCCCCAGCAGCGCCCAGCCAGCCCAAGGGGTGGAGGGCGGGGCGCTAAGGGGCGGGGCTGTCGCTTAAAGGGCCACTGACCACTGCCCTTAAACCACTTCCTGGGGGTGGAGAGGACCTCTGCTGCTGCTGCGACAAGCCAGGAAGGCGGTAACGCCCGAGTCCCGAGACTCTGGCTGTTGCCAACAAAATCCTGGGACACCCTCAGCTCTGACTGCGAGAGCATCGTCTCTCTCCATCCACACAGAACGGCTCGCCACCGGCTCCCATTAGTTGCGCCTCCATCTGTTGGGACCCGTGCCCCTAAGTCTGGCCGGGCCTCTGGGCAGGTCGTAGGAAGCCGGCGTGAACTCGCCTACTGCGAAAGCTATCAACTAAAATACTCGGAAGCTGAACCCTTCAGAGTCCGACCGGTGCTCGCCACCGTCACCTGCTGGTTGAATTCCGGAAACCCACTGTCTGAAGAACACAGAAGGGAATCGCTGACCACGCAGAATCAGAATCGTCTGGACCAAAAGCTCTGGGACCCTGCCTGGCTGCCTTCTTTTCGTCGGGTCTTTCATCATTTCGGGGACTTCTGTGTCCTGAAGCCCCTAACGGCCACCAAGGTAGCTAGGGTGAGCTACAAACTTTGCTGTCTTGTTCTCCAACCTCTGCCTCCAACATAGCGAGTCTGAACGTTACCACCCACTTCTTCCCCAAACCAGGAGATTTTGCCTTTTCCTTTTCCTTGCTTGTCTCCTACAGTTCCCAAAATTTCCCCCCCTCCTGTGTCCTCTTCACCCCCTTCTTTTGGGGGCCCCGTGACCCTAAATGTGGGGGGAACACTATATTCCACCACATTGGAGACCCTGACACGCTTCCCAGACTCCATGCTGGGGGCCATGTTTAGGGCTGACACCCTTATTCCAGCCAATCTCAACCCGCAAGGAGATGGCCATTACTTCATCGACAGAGATGGCAAGGCTTTCCGGCATATCCTCAATTTCCTGAGGCTGGGCCGTCTGGACCTGCCCCGTGGGTATGGAGAAACTGCACTTCTTAAGGCAGAGGCTGACTTCTACCAGATCCGGCCACTCCTGGATGCCCTGAGGGAATTGGAAGCTTCCCGGGGTACCCCTACATCCAGAGCTGCCCTGCTCCATGCAGATGTAGATGTCAACCCCCGCCTGGTGCACTTCTCTGCTCGAAGGGGCCCACACCATTATGAGCTGAGCTCTGTCCAGGTGGACACCTTCAGAGCCAACCTCTTTTGTACCGACCCTGAGTGTCTAGGTGCCATGCGCAAACGATTTGGTGTGGTCAGTGGGGACAGGGCAGAAGGAGGTCCACATTTTCGTCTAGAGTGGGCCTCCCGCCCCCGGGAACTCCCCGAAGTGGAATATGAAAGACTGGGGCTGCAACCACTGTGGACTGGGGGCCCGGAAGATCGACGGGAGGTGGCGAACGCGCCTACCTTCCTGGAGGAGGTCCTGCGGGTGGCTCTGGAACATGGCTTCCGCCTGGACTCTGTCTTCCCAGACCCTGAAGACCTGCTGAATTCGAGATCTTTGCGCTTTGTCCGCCACTGAGAATGCTACCTTTCACTTGACTGTGGAGAAGAGAAAGAGCCATCAGCTAAGTGGCTCTCCCGAAGACTCTGGTTCTGGTGTGGGAGCTATGAGAGTCAGGGATCCCACCTGACTGGAGCCTCGATGTAGGCTGGGATTCCCAAATTGAGCTGTCCTGACTCCCAGGACTCAAGAGTGATCCAGACGATCTACACTGGGGCTTATCCTGGGAAAGCATCCGTGCATTCTCGAGCCTGTTCTTGCTTGAGGATGGGTCCTCTGTATTTAGGGGTGCGGAAACGCAAGGAAGCACCTCTGCCCAGGCTAAACTCAGCAGAACTCTGGAGGCTTGAGCACTAGGTGGAAGGACATACTTTGATTATCAGATGTGGTCTGTCCCCTGGACTGTGGCTTCCCCCCCTGGAGCTGGGCACCTTATCCTACCATGACCATCAAGAGGCCAGGACATCTGGGAGGTTCATTTACTATATTCCAAACCACCTACTCTGGGAGATTGGAAATGGACACCTCATCCTAGGTTGACAAAAGGGGGCTAGGAGAGTCCCCATCAGCATGGGGGGTAGAGCACCCTTCTGGGATTCCAAGTGTTTTAGACAGTTTTGTTTGTATGTGGGTGGAACTGAACATGGAGAAAGATGGTAGTGTTCTTTGTGCCTGGGCTTCTGTCATGTGTGTGTTCCTGCCAGCCACTGTATCTGACTGATACTTGGGTCCCTGTCATCTTGTTTCCCATCAGTGTTGCTGACTCTTGTGTTTATGTGATGGTCCTTCTGGGATCTTGGCATGTCCAGGCCCGTTTGAGGTTGCCTAGCAACTCTTCAGGCCCAGGTATCTCTGTGGTATGTGTGAGAGCAGATTGAGATTTGGTTTAATCATAGGGTGTGTGTGTGTTTATGCCACACCACTACGTCGGCAGGAGGGGCTTGTTTGAGTTTGAGTCACTAGGCTTTTCCTATGAGAGGTAAAAGCCACTGGGCTTAGCTGGGCCTCTGAGACCTCTGGGAGCTCTTGGTTGCTGAGACAACCGTGAGCTTGTTGCTAGGAAATAGCTGGGGAAGGCCTAAGGCTGTCCTGAGCAGAGAGGAGACAGTTGGGAATGTGGAGGGAATTTGGGAAGGGACAGCATTTCTGGGTCCCTGAGTGGATGGGCTATGCATGCGCATCCTCACTGGGCGGAGTCCTTCATCGATCACTGTGACTTATAAGAAGAAAAATAAAATTGCTTCCAGAACCACAGATGTGTAAAGGCCACTGTCCCCTTGCAGCAAAAACTCTGATTCCTCCCTCTATCTCCTACTAGAGATGTCTTTTAGCCTCTGGTTCCAGGGGCCCAAGGGCAGCTTTACCAGAGCCAAGGGTAAAACAATGGCATTGTTCTGGATCAGTCTAGAACTCCCCACACGAAGGTCTAGAATCCTCAGCATTCTTAGTCTTATCAGAGCCAAGGTGTCCAGCTCCCGCCCATCCTCCAGCAGGCCTCATGTGGGTTCTGGCACTAGCTGGGGTTTTCCTGGTTGTTGCCAAGGCTTGTATCTTTTGTCGCCTCCCAACCCACGCCTTGCCTGGCCGCCTGGCTCAGCTCAGTAGCCAGATGGAGATGCAGTGGAAGGAATGGGCTTCCCCAGACTTCTCAGCCTTTGCCTTAGGTAGTATGAGACACACACGGCTAACCCTGCAAAAGTCACCCGTCTATCCTAAAGGGGTGGCTGGGAGTTCCCAGCTGTGCCTCCTCAGCCATTGCTTCAGTCCGATAGTCTCTCCCTTTGGGAGAACTCTGTCCTAGGCAATAGGGAACACAAAAACCCTAGCACCTACTGAGAGACTAGCTTATTCTTGCCCATCTCTACAGATGAGGTGACCATGAACAAGATCACAGAGAAGACTCACAGAGTCCTGAGGGTCATGGGTGAGGTCAGAGGGAAGCCGATACCTTGGGACCTAGGAGGATCCAATCAAGGAATGGGAGTCGGGGCAGGTGGAAACCGGCTGATCTGGGGAGGGGCACGGAAGGCGTCACTGCTGAGGCCTAGGGCAACACAGCCATGTGTGCCTCTCTAGAGATAAAAAGGTCCTTCTCCTCGCTTCCTTCGTATTGGCAATGGCTTCAGAAGACCAAGATCCCCCAGTACACCAGGGAAGGTATGGATGGAGAAGGCATCAAGGGGGTACCTAGGATTTGTAGCCAAGTGGAATATGGATGAATAGGTCAGTCACCCTTTGTCTGTCATTTCAGCTCTCTGTGCTCCCGCTTGTTGTGAGTAAAAGAAAAGGGTAATCAGCCCGAGGAAGCTGGGTGGCTGGAAGGGTGGCGGCCGGCTTCTCTCCCCAGCGCATCTCCTATTGTCTACTGCAGGGGGCAGCACCATCCTGTACAACTGCTCTACCTGTGAGGGCCAGGAGGCACCTTGTTGGCCCAGGAAGCGCTGCTTCCCAGGTTCTCACTCCTAGCCCTCTTCCTCAGACCCCTTAGGTTCCTTAGAGTGATCCTCAGGATCATCTACTGCTTCCTGTGTTCCTTGCAGGAAGTCACGATCTGTGGGACGCTAGGATTCTGCTCGTATGTATCTTCGGAATTGTCCTGCTTTTGGGCGCTCTGAGCCTCCAGGTGGAGTGAGTTGGGGGATAATCGGAGAAATGCCTGACACCGCCCTTCCTCCTTCCTTTCAACCCCTTCCCTACTTTCCTCCAGGCCTCCCATCCTGTCTTCTTTCAGGTACCGCGACCTGCAAGCAAAAGACTTGTGAAGATGCTGACAGCGTTTCACCTCCGCCTTCTAAGGAGTTTGTGCCCACAATTTCTACATTCCCTAGGGTGGGAAAGAGCCACTCTTTAGACCCAGCCCCAAAGCCTCAGTCTTCCAGACCCTAAACTCAGACTTTTGGAACCAATATCCGTGTCGGATGGCTCCAGGAACCCAGGCACACACCCCCCACCCCCACCAGCTGGAAAGTTCCTCCTCTTCTGAATCGCCCCACCAATCAGAGAGCAGGGGATGATGCCAGGAAATTATCTACAGAAGGAAAGAATCCCTTACCACCACTCCCACATCCCCTCTGTCCATTCCCGGAAAGCGGGGGACTGTTGGCCTGTAGATGTTGCTCTAGGCCCTCCTATGACTGATCGTGAATCCGGGAATGAGAGTTCTGGAAAACTCTCCCTCTGGGGTGAGACCACATCAGTCAGCCTGCTGGCATGCAATCCCTCCATTGTGTTATTATTGTGCAGCTCTGGCCTCCACGCCTGCTGGGCCCAACTAAATTTGGTGTGCAATGCCTTCCATCCGTTCCTGGCCCTATCTGCAACTTGGGCAAGCAAGAGAATGAAGATTCTTAGGAATTCTAATTAGGGGTGCCCCGAAAGATGTTTAGTAATGTCTGGAGACAGTTTTGTTTTGATTGGGGGTTGTGTTACCGGCATCTAGTGGGTGGAGACTAAGTCTGCTGCTAAACAACCTAGGACACACAGGAAAGTCCTGTCCTAACGTCTATAGTTTACGGTGGAGAAAACCGGGTGCCGGTGCTCTGTGTTTTAGGGGCTTGGGATTAGGGTGACAGGAGATGGAAAAGCAGAGAGGCCTGCCACCAGGCACAAGTCCTAATATAAGCACTGAAGCCCAGATGGGGTCCCAACCTTCACCTAGTTTTCAAACTGAGGGCAAGTGTTTTCAGGTAGCACATTTGGAGTTACAGTTTCCAAACAACTCATGTTTCTATCCCTTCTCCTGAGTGCGAGTGGGGAGGTCTCACACAAAGCCTTGGTTAATATGGTCGACAGCCAGGTTAGAACCGCTGCTGTTAGGGCTTTGCCTATGGACAGAGGGAGAAGCTCTCTAGGATCTCCACTGTTTTCCTCCTTATTTTTTGTTGTTGCTGCTGTTGGGTTTTTTTCTTTTTTTTTCAAGACAATTTCTTTGTGTAAGAGCTCTGGAACTCTATTTGTAGATCAGGCAGGCCTTGAACTCACAGAGATCCACACGCCTCTGCCACCAAAGTGCTGAGATCAAAGGTGTGCACCACGATGCCCTGCCCTAAATTTTGTCTTTAGATTTTATTTATTTGCTTGGTTTGATTATTGTGTGTATGTAAGCTTATGGACCACACCACATGTGTGGAGGTAAGAAACAATTTGTAGGGGTTGATTTTCTCCTCCTACCATGAGGGTTCCAGGGACTGAACTCAGAGGAACTTTGTGGCAAGCTCCTTAACCTGCGGAGCCATCAGTTCGGCCCTTCACTTTTGCTTTTGAGATGGTCTTGCCATCTTAGCCTGGCCTCCATCTTGCTTTGATGTGGAGGATGACCTTGAGCCTCTGAGTTTCCTGCGTCTGCCTCCTCAGTGTTGGGGTTACAGGCATGCTCTGTCACCATTTGGCCTTCTCTGTTTTACACATTCTAGACAATCCTTCCATTTTGTACAAGAAAATATGAGAGCCAGAGGTTGTATAGGGGCACAAGCTTGTCCGAGATCATAGGAAAACTCATGCATTGCTTGGACGAGAAGGTGTGCGAAGCCTGTGATGTGTGTCCTGACCTCTGGGGAGGCACAGTTCTCTGGAGAGCACTTGCCCTGTTGTTTCCTCCTCTGCTCAAACTTCATTTCTGGGATCAACAGTTCCCGTTCTTCTGCCTAATATTCCTAGATCTAGAATAGCACCCATTATTCAAGGACCTAATATTCCTAGATCTAGAATAGCACCCATTATTCAAGGACCTCTAACCCGTCTGCCCCCCTTCTCCTGTGGTGGTCTCCAGCCCACCATGAGCCTTTTATAATGGACCTTAGTCTTCCAGATGCTCCAACTGGTCATGAATGCTCGTCTTGAACCCAGGTCATTCTCAGTGGCCACGTGGCTCCACCCAAAGCTCCTGATTTCTCCCAGTATATGATGGGGTTGAGTTTTGGAGTTGAGCTGCTTGACTTCAGATCTTTAGTCTGCTCTTATTGGGTCTTGACAACTTATGTAACTTCTCTGTAGCAGTTCCTTATATGTTGTTTTTGACACAGTCTTGTTGTGTAACTGGGATCAGTGGCAGATGCTCCCAGCCTCAGAAGTCCTAAGCATTTTGTACACTTTTTTTTTTTTTGGTTTTACGAGTCAGGGTTTCTCTGTATTGTTTTGGAGCCTGTGGGTCCAGCCTGGCCTCGAACTCACAGAGATCCGCCTGCCTCTGTCTCCCGAGTGCTGGGATTAAAGGCGTGCGCCACCACTGCCCGGCCATTTTGTACACCTTTGACTGCAATATTGCTTTAATGTAAGCACTGTTGTAGTCCATGAAATGCATGGTATCAAGGACTAGCGATGGCTCAGCTGGGAAGAGCTCTTGCAGAGGACCCAGGTTCTCTTCTCAGCACCCACATGGCAGCAACAGCTGTCCAACACTCCAGTTCTAGGGGTCCAGTACCACCTCTGACCTCTTCGGACACTGGTAATGCATGTGGTACACACGTACCTATATGCTGGCAAAACATTCATACGCATAAAATGAAAATAAAATCTTAAAAAGTAAATCTATGAAACCATCATTTTTTTTTTTTTTGTTTTTTCGAGACAGGGTTTCTCTGTGGCTTTGGAGGCTGTCCCAGAACTCGCTCTGTAGACCAGGCTGGCCTCGAACTCACAGAGATCCGCCTGCCTCTGCCTCCTGAGTGCTGGGATTAAAGGCGTGCGCCACCAACGCCCGGCTGAAACCATCATTTGTATATGATTACTACGTGCTAAGAAAAAAAATCTATCAATTAAGCTATGGCATGCCTGTAATTAAAATTCACTCTGACTTCAAAAATGTTAAAATGTAAAAAATGAATAGAATTTTAAAAAAGTTATCTGCTTTTAAACAGCAAGAAGGGAATCATGGGAGCTGGAGAGATGGCTCAGCAGTTAAGAGCACTGACTGCTCTTCCAGAGATCCTGAGTTCAATTCCTAGCATCCACTAAGTGGCTCACAATCATCTGTAATGGGGTGTGATGCCCTCTTCTGGTATGCAGGCAATAATGCATACCTAACAAAAATATGTAAAATAAATTACAATCTTTTTTTGATGGTTTGAGACATGGTTTCTCTGTGTAGCTTTGTAGACCAGGCTGGCCTCGAACTCACAGAGATCTGCCTGCCTCTGCCTCCTGAGTGCTGGGATCAAAGGTGTGCACCACCACCACCGCCTGACTCTAAATAAAATTTTTAAAAAAGGGGACTGTGTATGGTGGTTCCTGCTATATGATTGTGAGTGTGTGTGTGTGTGTGTGTGTGTGTGTGTGTGTGTGTGTGTGTGTTTGTGCTGGGAATCAAACTCAGGCCTTGTCAGGCAAGTGTTTCACCATGGAGCTACATCACCAGCTTTAGTATGGTTGATTGATAGTGACAGGAATGGAACCAAAATTCAAGGTCGTTCTTGGTTGCATATTAAGCTCAAGGCCAACCTGGACTACAAGAGACCCTGTTTTCAAAGACAAAACAAAGCAGGGTCTAGAGTGATAGCTCAGTGGTTAAGAATATTTGCTCTTACAGAGGACCCTGGTTCAATTGCCAGCACCAGCAACCCTCTGTAACCACAGTTTCAGGGTCCACGCCTTTTCTGACATCCACAGATTCCTGTAAGCACATGGTACACATGTGTAGACACATATACACGAAAGTGTAAAAGTAAAGTATAAGGAGCTGGATGGTGGCATGCGCCTTTAGTCCCAGAACTTGGGAGGCAGAGGCAGGTGGATCTCTGAGTTTGAAGGAGGCCAGCCTGGCCTACAGAGTGAGTTACAGGACAGTCAGGGATACATATTGAGACTTTGTTTGAAAAAAGAGAGAGGGGTGAAGAGTGTGTGGTTTACTGTTAGAACACTTGGTTATCATACCTGGGAGTCCATCGTTCCATTACGGTCACTATCAATCAACCATTCTAAGGCTGGTGATGTAGCTCCAAGGTGACACACTTGCCTGACAAGGCCTGAGTTTGATTCCTAGTGCACACACACGCGCACACGCGTGCACAAAGGCAACGTATGGCATAGGTCTGTATTCCTCACACTAGGTAGAGGCAAGGGAATCAGAAATTCACTGTCATCTTCAGGCACATAGCAAGATCAAGGTCAGCCTAGCACTCATAAGATCCTGTCTCAAAGGAATAACCTATTGAAGACATTCCCCATGTCTTCCCTGCCTACTGAACACACACGCCTCACTTGTTTACCCTGGCTCTCTAGGTACCCCATCAGCGGCTCTCCCTTGTCTTATCTGCTGCTCACACAGGCCTAACTGGAATTTCCACTGCTGTGCCCACGAGCATCTCACACTCCACATGTCCAAACAAACCTCCCTCACTGAGATCCCCAACGCTCTTTTGGGATGGTTCTCAGCTCTCACGCTCCACAGCAAAGCCCACCAACCTCCTTGTCCTTCCTCTTCCTAATGCTACAAGCACTTTTCTCACCAGCAACCGAGTGCTTTCCCTCTGTACTACATAGACTCCAGTGCAGCTTGTCTAGACTGTTACCTCCCACAGCTCCCCACCTTCTACTGCAACCCACAGCCACACCGAGTCACTGAAGTCTCCTAAACACTCTTTCCTCCTGCCTTTGTCCAGGCTCGTCCCTCCACCTAGAGTGTCCTTCTGATCTGGCTCAGATAATACAACCCTGCCTCTGAGTTAAACGGGGAGAGCAGATTTCTTCCTCAGACATCTTGAAGATATGGCACCTGTAACATCGAGGTGGTGTGGGTTTTTTTTTTCAGGGGAAGGGGGAAGACTTGAGACAGGACCTCATATACCCCAAACTGGCCTTAAACTCACTGTGTAGCTGAGGATGATCTTGAACTTCTGATCCTTCCCTGTCTGCCACTGGTATTACAAGTGTGACTACCACTTCGAGTTTGATGATGTTTATTTGTGTGTGTGTGGGGGGGGATATTTTTCTAAAGCTACTGAAAATATTGTATGCTAAGAAGATACACAAACCTCAGGGGTGGGGGGTAGGAGTCAATGGAGAAAACAGGGCGGAGGTCACAGGACAAGACTAAGAGCTTTTCGGAATAGATTGGACCTGCTGGTTTTGCTGACCGTCATCTTTGAGGGCAACAGAGCAGGCCTGCCCGGAGGCCTGCCGGAAGCCTGCAAACTCAAAGGGGACATTCTCATTCTCATCGCCACACAACAGTGAGAGGTGCCGAGTGGCCTCTAAGGGCTCACTCAGCTCCTGCCGCATCAGAGGCAGCTCAGAGCCGTCCCTGTTGATGGTTTGGTGGCCCCTTTGGTTCCCGAGATGCTTGCTGTGACAAGACTGCCAAGCAAGGCCCTCCGGTGTTTTTGATGAGGCAGACACCTTCCAGGGAGGGGGTCTCTGAGTAGTCATGGCTGCAGTCAGCCAGGCTGGTCACAGAGGACACCCGGAAGAGCCTGACTTGGTGGTCTTTTTTTTTTTTTTTGTAAGCTCTCTTGATCATGTGTTTCCTATGGAGCTACTGCAGAAGGATTTCCATCATGCCTGCTACATGGGTGACATCAGAAGGCATCCTCCAGCTCCAGGAGCAGATGCCAGACCTTTCTCCTGCCCTTGTGACATACATGTGTAGCTCATGAAGCAATTCATGAGTGGGGTGCACAAGAGGCTATGCTGCCTTTTTCACTTGAGAGAGGGGGAGAAGGAGAGAGAGAGAGTGTGTGTGTGTGCACGCTAATGTGTTCATGTGGGTACACACTCCTGGATAGAGGCCAAAGATCAACTGTCGGGTGCCATCCTCTGTTGCGGTCTATTTTTGTTACTGTACTCTGAGTGAGTGATGTGCGCATGCACACGTATACCACATCAAGCTCCTGGAGGCCAGAGGACAGCTTCGAGTCTGTTCTCCCCTCCCATCTTGTTGGGGCAGAGTCTCTCTTGTTTCTGCCTTCTGTTTTAGAAGGGGTGTTGGGATTATAGATGCACACTACTGTGTCTGGGTTTTTTTTTTTTTTTTTTTGGTTTTACGAGACAGGGTTTCTCTGTATTGTTTTGGAGGCTGTCGGACCAGACCGGCCTCAACTCACAGAGATCCGCCTGCCTCTGCCTCCCGAGTGCTGGGATTAAAGGTGTGCGCCACCACCGCCCAGCTCTGTGTCTGTTTTTTTAATGTGGGTTTCAGGGATCAAATTGAAGTTGTCTGAGTCATCTGGCTAGTCCCATTCACCTTTTTGAGACAGGGTATCTAGCTGAACCTGGAGCTCACTGGCTAGGCTGACTGGCCAGGGAGCCCTAGGGATATGCCTGTCTCCACAGCCTCAGTACTGGAGTTACAAAGGCCTGCCTTTTTATGTATGTATGTATGTGTTGGAGATCCAAACTCAAGTTCTTTTTTTCTTTTTTAAATGTTTTATTTGTTTTTATGTGTATGGATGTTTTGCCTGCCTGTGTGACTGTACCGTGTGTATGCAGTGAGGATGGTGTCGGGTCCTCCAAGTCTGTAGTTACAGATGGCTGTGGGACACCATGTGGGTGCTGGGAATTGAACCAGGACCTCTGGAAGAGCAGCCACAGCTCTTAATCGCTGAGTCCCACACTCCAACTCTTATTCTTGTGCAGCAAGCACTTTACCCGCTAAGCCATCTTCCCATCCCCAGGGCTGACTGCTTTGAGCCCTTCACCAAACAAGATTGCTATTTGTCAGTTCTAAACAAAAAAGTCTCTCTTTCTGGGTGCAGTGGCACACTTCCTTAATCCCCGCACTCGGGGCAGAGGCAGGCAGATCTCTTTGAGTTAGAGGCCACCAGGGCTACATCGTGAGAGTCTGTCTCAAAGTTAAAATGAAATTTAAAAATGAAGGAGCTGGAGGGCTGGAGAGATGGCTCAGAGGTTAAGAGCACTGACTGCACTTGCAGAGGACCTGAGTTCAATTCCCAGCAACCACATGGTGGCTCACAACCATCTGTAATGAGATATGGCGCCCTCTTCTGGCATGCAGATATGAATGCAGGGAGGATACTGTATACATAAGTAAATAAATCTTTTTAAAAAAATGAAGGAGCTGGAGAGAATGTCCACCCTTTGAGGGAACTTGCTACTCTTCTGGAGATTCAGGCTCTGTTCCTAGCGCCAACATAAAGTGTTTCACGACTGACTTTAACTCCAGCTCTGGGGAATACAACGCCCTCTTCTGGCATCTGTGGGCACCAGACATGCACATGACTCACACCTACACATAAAATAAAATAAACACATTTAACAATAACTACAAATGAAAACAAAGGAAGCTGGGTATGATGGTATACGCCTTTGATCCTAGAATTCAGGAGGCAAAGACAGGCAGGTCTCTGTAATTAAAGGCCAGGCAGTCTACACAGTAAGACCCTGTATTAAAAAAAAAAAAGCTGGGTGGTGGTGAGACACACTTTATTCTTAACACTCAGGAGGCAGAGGCAAGTGGATCTCTGTGAGTTGGAGGCCAGCCTGATCTACAGATTGCATTCCAGGATCTCTGTGAGTTGGAGGCCAGCCTGATCTACAGATTGCATTCCAGGACAGCCCGGGCTACACAGAGAAA